CACCAAGATAGGTTCATCAAGAAGGGACAAGGGAAAACAGGAGGTTTTCCCCGTGGACCGACCCGTGACGAGATCCTATTCCCGGGCCCATAACAGTTAGACATATCAATTGAGCAAACATTGTAGAAATTTGTTTCCTTTAAGAAATAAAAGATCTAAACTTTTGTTTCGTATTGTCTATTTTGATATTTGGGGCCTTGTTACTCTACCTTCTGGGACTGGATATAAGTATTTCATTACTTTGATTGATGACTACTCTAGATATACATGGGTTTATCCTATGCGATGTAGAGATTAATTGCCAAAGATTGTGAAAGATTTTCAACACATGATTTTTACTCAATTCCAAACTGAGATTCAATTTTCCAATTAAACAACGCAAAGGAGTACTTCCATAGTGATCTCACAGAGTTCTTTGCTTCGTGTGGTTTTCTTCATTGGAGCTCTTGTGCTAGGACACCCTAGCAAAATGGTGTCGCTGAAAGGAAAATTCATCATCTTCTTGAAGTAGCTCGTGGTTTATTACTCCATATGAATGCTCTGAAACGCTTCTGGATGGATGTTGTTATGTGTGTTGCATATCTCATCAATTGTATGCCATCTCGGTTACTAGAGTATAAGGCCCCACATCAACTTTTGTTTCCTACGGCTCCTTTGTCCCCTATTCCAATGCGTGTCTTTGGGTGTCGATGCTTTGTTCATGACTTGTCCCCTTTTCACGGTAAGCTCGATCCTTGTGCCATTCCTTGTGTTTTTCTTGGTTATCCTTTATCTCAAAAGGGTTACCGTTGCTATGACCCTGCCTCACGCAAGTACTATGTCTCCATGGATGTATCCTTCTTTTAGAGTCAACCTTTTTTCTCGGTTTCTCCTTAGGGGGAGAGTAGGGTTGAGGATGAGAAACACACCCAAACTCAGACTCAATTACCTCATCTTCCTGATCCTCCATTTCGTGTCTTCCTTAACCGCCATAAGAGCCAATAGAGTTCAAGAGCCATGGAACCTGAAACTATGCAACCAACACCATCAAACTCTCGAGAGGCAGATCCTCCTCATGAACTAGGTACACTTGTTCCCATTGATATGCCTGAACCTCTTGATATCGATTCCCCTATTATTAATGGTCTTGATGTTCCTATTGCTAAGAGAAAGGGTGTTAGATCTTGTACTACTAATCATCCTATCTCTCACTTTGTGTCCTATGATCATATTTCACCTTCATATCGTGTTCCTTTCCTCCGTTGACAGTATTTCTGTTCCTAAGAATGTGGCAAAAGCTTTATCCAAACCTGAATGGGCAGATGCAATGAAAGAAGAAATTAATGCCTTACACAAAAATGGCACCTAGGGTTGGTGTGTGTTGCAGAAAAAAGAAAGGGTAGAGGAAAAGGGTTGATGTGTAAGGTGGACCTAGAGAAAGCCTACGATATGGTTAATTGGGAAGTGCTACTTCAAATGTTAGAAATGTTGGGTTTTGGAACCAAATGGAGATCTTGAATTAGAGGATGTTTAAGTTTTGTTCATTATTCGGTTCTTATTAATGGAGTAGCGAAGGATTTCTTTCTGGCTGAGAGAGGAATTAGGCAAGGAGACCCCTTATCCCCTTTTCTTTTCACTTTAGTGGGTGAGATGTTAAGCAGAATGGTGGCGAAAGCTGATTTCCAAGGATTGTTTAGAGGGTGGAGGATAGGTAGAAATCGAGTGGTTGTTACCCACCTTCAATTTGCAGATGACACAATCTTCTTTTGTGAGGGAGGTAACGAGGAAGGAGTGGTTAACCTAAAGCTAATATTGGATAACTTTGTGGGGGTGACAGGGTTAAGGATAAATTGGACCAAAACAGGCATTGTAGGGGTCAATCTGGAGGTGGGAAACTCAATAGATTTGTAGAGATTTTGGGATGTGAGATTAGAAGTTGGCCAATTAGCTACTTGGGGTTACCTTTAGGTGGTAACCCTAGGTCAGAAGGTTTTTGGAAGCCAGTCATTGAAAGATTTGCTATGAAGCTAGCTCTGTGGAGGAGGAATTATATCTCTCTAGGTGGAAGGATAACATTGATTAGAGCCACATTGGCAAACCTCCCTATTTACTTCCTCTCAACCTTTAGAATACCCTGTAGAGTAGCAAGGAGGTTAGAAATTACATGAGAGATTTCTTTTGGGACCTAGGTGAGGAGAGGAAGACTCACCTGATTAATTGGGATCAAGTTAGAAAGCCCAAGGATAAAGGGGGTTTGGGAATCATCAGACATGTAGAGTCTTTTTTCCCCTTCTTTTTTCAGGTGGCGTGTGAAAAGAGGAAGGGCTATGTGGAGAGGATTGAGGGCTGCAATATGTTGGTCACTATGGGAAGAAAGAAATTCCAGGTAGTGACCTACAAAGTGGATGACATGTTGAGGAAGTGGGGTGAAATTGCATTTCGACTACCTAGAATGTGGGAGAAATTTTTTATTTTTTTTTGATAAATGAATGTGGGATAAACTTGTCTCTTATGATTTTAATAGTTTTCTTTTGTCCAAGCAAAGAAAAAGAATAAAACTGCTGCACTAGCTCTAAACCATGTACAAATTTCTCTTTTATGTTTCTTGCTTAGGAAGTTAGTTGACATCCAATGGCCTAGAGAGATTTTACTTGGGCAATTCTGCATTTCCTGAATATGATTCAATCCAAGTCACACAGTTCAGAAAATAAGAACACTATTCACCATTCAATCTTACTGAAGCTGAAACCTTATCCAAGTCAATGCAAAATTCTGGGCTTGATCTTTGTCAGGACATCTTCAAAGTTAGTATCTAATGCTGTCCAAAATTCCTAATATTTTACCCGACCATGCCATCATGAAGAACAATTGCTCAAAGTTAGTAGACAAGTTTACCTGAGAAGGGGTTGAAGTTGCAAGTGGATAACTTGTTGATCTCAATGCAACAGTTCATTAGGCTAGTTGGTCTCCTATATTCCAAGCATGTCTTTGATGTAGGATCCTATTTATCTTTTATTTCTGCTATTAATAAATTCCTTTTTATATTTGTTATTGATTTAAAGCAAGGCATGCACCTCACTGAAGAACACCTTACTTATACCTAATGTTTCAGACTGTTGGTGTTTTATTTCTTCTCCAGATTTGGTTCCAGATCAAGGTAATGGATCTGCACCTTCTGCTAGTATCAAGAAGGTAATGCACTAGATTGATTTATGAATTAATTTGGCCAAATTGTGCCAGAGAGGTTTCATGGGAGATCCAGAGGAGATAAGGTCAGGACAAAGTGAGTTTCATGAATTCCCATCCTCTTGCATATGCCAGAAAACAATAGAAATGACACAAGACAACCAATTGGTCGAGCTTAAAGCATGCATAGAAGACAAGCATGAAACATACCAGGTAACACAACAGAGGATGGAAGACAAGCATGAAACATACCACTGAAATCACATGAAATAGACCACTGAATTTGCAACAAAAACGGCAAACTCTACCTATGCTAATGATCCTCGATACGCATTGCAAAATGGAAGAAAGGTTCAGAATTCAGATTCAAACCAGCTGAAACATACAAAAGAAGAAGATTGATTGCAAGTTTCAGATTTGAATTTACCTTTGCTTTTCACGTCTAGTTGCTGGAATTCAGTGAATTGATTTACTCTCTATATGCAATTCACTGTCGTTTCTAGAGCAGGAAGCTCTCGATCGAAGGAGAGGCTCTCGATTTTTTTTCCCTCATGTTTACTTTCATTTTTGAGGGAAGTGGTTTCCAACCAAAATGGAAAGACCCCGTTTCCTCATTTTCATGATTTTAAATCCTCCCATTTTCCATCCTTTTCCTCATTTGTGATCAAACCAAACAAGGGAAGATTTGGAACCTTTTGGAATATTCCAAAATTTCCCTTCATTTCCTTCAAACCAAAGACAGCCTTAGTTACTTCTCCAAAGCCACTCAGTAAAAGCTGCTGAACCAAAGCTTCGGCCCTCCCAAGGGGGCCTTTAAGCATGCAGCATAGTTCCAAGCTCGTATTTTCATCTAGATCATTTTCCTAGTTTTTATCCTTGTAATCAAGTCAACTCTACTCCTTCACATGCATGAATCGATGACAATGAAATAAACAGTCATCCAGAAAACTGATGAAATCCAATATTAAGAGAACTTCACAAATATCAAGATGATTTATTTTCCATTTCCTCAAGAGAAGTTTTAAACAAATTTTCATTATAAAGGAGTGTTTGGTCAAATTTTTCCAAGGGCAAGCATGATGACTGTAAGGTTTAAAATGATTAAGAACTCAACTTTTTGGTTTTCTATGGAGTGGGTTTACTCATTGAATTGTATGTGATAATTATTAAGATAACATTGCAAAATAATTGAGTGGGAAAAAAATAGTCATTGTGGTTACCTGCTACGAACTGAATCTTAAGGGCTGATCTTCTCCCAATTTTGAGCATAGCAATAATGCCAGATCTCTTATTTGTTAGAACTGCTAACCATTCTTAATCTTCATATCATACTAGCATCCATCAATCCGGTTTTTGTGTAAAACAAGAATGGGTTACAAGAAACTCAGGAGTGCTATTTACAAAGCAATAAATGTCTCATTAAAGCTTCCAATAATCAAATTATAATGCAACAATATGGCAAGAGCATGATCCAACAGTCTTTATAAGTGGTCTCTTGGTATTTGATCCAAGGC